CTCTCTCTCGCTTCTCCTTGGGTTCCCCCTTCCAGTTGTCCTGGCATATTCTCTCTTTTTTAATATCCTTAGGTTCCCCTTTCTTTCCTACCCCCTCCCCACACTGGGAGGCCAGCACGGAGAGCCACCAGGAGTTGAAGTGCACTAGTCTCTGGCAGCTCCAGCAGCTGCAGCCTGTAGAAGACAGTTGTACCCAGTGTTTTTTCCAGCTATAGTTGTCCAGCCCAGATAGTGGAATTGGGACATAGAGTGGAACTTGGGAGCGGATGGCTGGTGTGCCAGGGTACTGGATCAGGACTGACTCAGCTGCTGAATCACCTAGGTTTGCTTGGTGTCCACTATTAAATACTGACCCCCCTGCCGATGGCAGCACAAAGGGTGAGGTCACAAGCATGCACAATTCATTCATATTTCTGAAAAAATGTCTCTGCTAGAACTGCTTACTTGCAGCTTTGATCTGTGCTGTAGCCAGAGTGGCTGTACCTCTGAGAGATGCCTTTCCTCATCAGTTCAGTCAGGGCTTCAGTGTTCTGCAAACATATTTGTTCTTGCATTTAATATGTTACAAATAGCGATGTAGTCTAGGTGCAGAAGCAGAGGGGGTGTATTCCCTGGTTTGGGTGAGGAATGGCCCGTGCTCAGCTCACAGCTGCCCTGCTATCTGTCTCAGTGCTGGGCAGCGGTTGGGAGGATGAGAGAGAGACGTTCCTGTGCGCTGAATTCCTTTCCAGTTCCCTCTTTGTGGTTTGTAGTGGTTACCTTTCCTTGCTGCTCCAGATGGACACAGCTTTGCCAGTTACCCTCCTTGGTGACCATTCTACAGGACAGGTTGAACCTGCTTGTAATGATGCAATTACTAATACAAAGCAAACGCTCTCATTGGGACTGCAGGCTGGATAGCCACAGAATTCCACAGCCCCTGCTCCAAATCATAATGACAATTCTCCAAACATACCTGTCAGTTCAGCGCAACTGCTCCTGTATTTCCCCTCTGTGGTCCAGCCAGGGCACCCACTCTCAGGCCTCCGCCTCCCCAGCTGTTGGCTATCTGCATGGAGACCCATGTCCTCTCCCTTCTGACCAGGGTATTTCCAGACTGCACAGTTCCCTGCCTTCACTATGTTATTCCCAGCGCAGACAAATTGCCAAAGAACACCTGCTTGCTTTCTCTACAAAGATGGTTAACAAGTATAATGGCTACAGTTCTGAGCCAACTTTATTCTTAAGCTGTTACAAAGGAAACATATTAAACACAATAAAAGAGCCTACATGCATGCTAATAAACTTACCAGGGTTCACCCCAACATGGCAGGAGCAGTTCTTCACCCCGCCACCCGCGGGGATGCCTTGTGATTACAAGTTCATCACAGCTTTAGCTCAGAACAAGCCATCAATCTGCTGTGGCCTCAGTAGCCCTGGTCCTTGCAATCCTGCCCTAAAGACTGGGACCCTCTGTGGACCTGGGGTCCTGTCCATTTTCTGGAACAGGACGCAGACCCTGTCTTTGTCTGTTGGTCCCTGGGGAACCCAGTTTGAATTAGTGTATGTGCACCTTTCCAGGGGTGACTTCTCTACCGATGTCCCACCTGAGTGAATTAGCCTGACCACTCCCTTGCTGTTCTCCCATTTGCACTTCCCATGGAAATACATAAATTCCACATGCACACCCACATTTTTTAATACAGTGGACCCCAAATTCAGTAAGGTTGAACTCAGTTCAGTAAAGTTTATCTTACCTCCATAAGATAAACTTTTGTTCAGGATATTATAGGATATTCTGTCTGTTGCAATATGCATCATAGCAGAGTTCCAGACTCAGGGCCCTGTACATGACCAGGTCTGAAATTCCCCAGGCACAAAGCTCTGAAGCCATTGGGGTATTTCATACCAGTTCTGCCATAGCTAGTGCATTAAACTGCAAGCTTAGGGATCATGAGTTCTATTCCCAGGTCTTCCACTAGGCTGCTGCTCATATATCTGTTCCCTTCATAACACTTATTAGACTAATATACAATTAACATGTGTTAAATGGATTAAAATTTAATGCATGTGTTAAATGGATTAAAATTTAATGCATGTGTTAAATGGATTAAAAACTGGCTAACTGATAGCTCTCAAAATGTAAAGTGAAATTATCATTGAATGGGTGTGTTTCCAGTGGGGTCCCACAGGGATTGGTTCTAGGCCCTATGTTATTTAACATTTTTATCAGTAACCAGGAAGAAAACATAAAATCATGCATAAACAGGGGAATCTTGAGTAGAAGTAGAGAGATTATTTTACCTCTGTATTTGGCAGTGGTGTGACTGAGGCTGTGTCCAATTCTGGTGAATTGGACATTGATAAATTGAAGAGGATTTCAGAGAAGAGACACAAGAAAGATTAAAGGATTAAAAAGCATGCCTTATAGTGATAGACTCAAAGTGCTCAATCTGTTTATCTTAACAAAGAGAAGGTTAAGGGATGACTTGAACACAGTCTGTGAGTATCTACATGGGGAACAAAGAGTTAGTAATGGGCTCTTCCGTCTAGCAGAGAAAGGTAAAACGTGATCTGGTGGCTGGAAATTGAAGCTAGACAAAATCAGACTGGAAAGAAGGTGTGAATTTTTGACAGTGAGGGTAATTAACTATTAGAACAATTTACAAGGATTGTGGTGGATTCTCCATCAGTGACAATTTTTAAATCAAGATGACAGGTTTCAGAGTAACAGCCGTGTTAGTCTGTATTCGCAAAAAGAAAAGGAGTACTTGTGGCACCTTAGAGACTAACCAATTTATTTGAGCATGAGCTTTCGTGAGCTACAGCTCACTTCATCGGATGCATACCGTGGAAACTGCAGCAGACTTTATATACACACAGAGAATATGAAACAATACCTCCTCCCACCCCACTGTCCTGCTGGTAATAGCTTATCTAAAGTGATCATCAAGTTGGGCCATTTCCAGCACAAATCCAGGTTTTCTCACCCTCCACCCCCCCACACAAATTCACTCTCCTGCTGGTGATAGCCAGCCCCCAACTAAAACCCCTCCAACGCATTATTAAGGATCTACAACCTATCCTAAAGGATGACCCAACACTCTCACAAATCTTGGGAGACAGGCCAGTCCTTGCCTACAGACAGCCCCGCAACCTGAAGCAAATACTCACCAACAACCACATACCACACAACAGAACCACTAACCCAGGAACTTATCCTTGCAACAAAGCCCGTTGCCAACTGTGCCCACATATCTATTCAGGGGACACCATCACAGGGCCTAATAACATCAGCCACACTATCAGAGGCTCGTTCACCTGCACATCCACCAATGTGATATATGCCATCATGTGCCAGCAATGCCCCTCTGCCATTTACATTGGTCAAACTGGACAGTCTCTACGTAAAAGAATAAATGGACACAAATCAGATGTCAAGAATTATAACATTCATAAACCAGTCGGAGAACACTTCAATCTCTCTGGTCACGCAATCACAGACATGAAGGTCGCTATCTTAAAACAAAAAAACTTCAAATCCAGACTCCAGTGAGAAACTGCTGAATTGGAATTCATTTGCAAATTGGATACTATTAATTTAGGCTTAAATAGAGACTGGGAGTGGCTAAGTCATTATGCAAGGTAGCCTATTTCCCCTTGTTTTTTCCTACCCCCCCCCCCAGATGTTCTGGTTTAACTTGGATTTAAACTTGGAGAGTGGTCAGTTTGGATGAGCTATTACCAGCAGGAGAGTGAGTTTGTGTGTGTATGGGGGGGGGGGGGTGAGAAAACCTGGATTTGTGCTGAAAATGGCCCACCTTGATTATCATGCACATTGTAGGGAGAGTGGTCACTTTGGATGAGCTATTACCAGCAGGATAGTGAGTTTGTGTGTGTGGTTTTTGGGAGGGGGGTGAGGGGGTGAGAGAACCTGGATTTGTGCAGGAAATGGCCCAACTTGATTATCATGCACATTGTGTAGAGAGTTGTCACTTTGGATGGGCTATCACCAGCAGGAGAGTGAATTTGTGTGGGGGGGTGGAGGGTGAGAAAACCTGGATTTGTGCTGGAAATGGCCCAACTTGATGATCACTTTAGATAAGCTATTACCAGCAGGACAGTGGGGTGGGAGGAGGTATTGTTTCATATTCTCTGTGTGTATATAAAGTCTGCTGCAGTTTCCACGGTATGCATCCGATGAAGTGAGCTGTAGCTCACGAAAGCTCATGCTCAAATAAATTGGTTAGTCTCTAAGGTGCCACAAGTACTCCTTTTTTTTTAAATCAAGATGGGCTGTTTTTCTAAAAGATCTGCTCTAGGAATTATTTTGGAGACATTTGCTGGCCTGTGTTATACAGGAAATCAGACTAGATGATCACAGTGGTCCCCTCTGGCTTTGGAGTCTATGTATTTATGAAACCCTAATCTCCTCCCTCCCAGTATGTGGTCCAGGCACAAGGCATCCTTCCTTTCACTTATCTGGGGTAGGCCAGTGTATCCATAGTTGGACTCCATCAGAGAATGATGTCATCATAAGATAACCAGCAAACTCTTCAATGTGTCCGTGACCTTCAGGCCTGGAACCCGTCCCTGTTCCTACCTGCTGCCCAGAATTCTTGTAGGGCACAAAGACAACTTAAAACTTTTTTATTTAAAAAGCTGGGAAAAGGGAGCTTGCAAGTAGCATGGGATGGGCGTCACCCTATAAACAGCAGCATTCGCTCCTAGAGTTCCCAGGGGTACCACTTCAAGCCACAGTAGAAGAGATACAGCTTTCTGGGAACAGCTGTTTAACTAAGTAGCTCCAAATGTGTCTCTATTTGTAAATAAGGGGCGTAGTGACAGCAGCTGTTGATGCAGCAGTTTACTTGGTAACGGTACTAGCTGTTGAAGAGCTTTGGGGTGCCGGTGGTCCTGGCAGGTCTCTTGCGTCTGGAGTTTGTTAGCTGACACCTCTGACTGGGGATGTGTTCTGCTCCCAGGCCCTTGACACCAGTGGGATTATTCTTATTTTACAGGTACACGGCTGAAAGGGGGAGAAAAGATAAAAGAAGTGTGTACAGATTCGTGGGAGCCAGTGGGTCGAGTCTGTTCCCCAGAGGAAGGCTCAGCAGCTGTTACTCACCAGGAGCCCCCATCTGATGTGGCACCCAGAAGTTTTCAAACTGCACCTGTCACAGCAAAGGAAGTGAACCTCGACGTACTCACGAGTGGAGTTGCCTGTCTGCCAGGTGAGTAACTGAGCCAGAGGGATGGGCAGGAAGTGTTATGCTGGAGAAGGGCTGATGTAGGTGTGCTGCTGGTAGGGGTGCATTTTAGACTTTCCCGGGGGGCAGGAGGTCTGTGTGTGCCGTATTCCTTTCACTAGAAACATTTCTGAAATTCGCTGGCCAGCTCTTGGAGCTTTCAAGCTGAGTCGCGGACTGGCAGGAAACAGGAACTCACTCTCAAGAAGGACTGGATAATTTGCATCCAGGAGTCCTAATGTAACTATAACACCCTTGTGGCCAAGACGGAGTCCACTCTGTGGGGTGGCTGCGGTCAAGGAAAGGTGCACACGGGAACCCAGCAGGGAAATTCCCTTCCACCCCAGGGGCACCTGTTCCAATCCCCAACGTAAATACATACACACTGGAACAGTACAATGAATATAGGAAAGGGAAATATTTATTTACAGAGGGATGAATTTAGAAAAACAGCAGGGGAAAGATAAGGGGAACATTAGAACAAGGGTTCATCTACTACGAGTGTCCAGTGTGAAAGGGTGGATGCCAAGCACTGCATCTAGACTCAGAGCTCAGGAATCCAGGACAGAGTTCCGGTCCAGCAGTGAATCTTGGGTGCTCCTGGTTGGCTTCGGTGCCAGTAAACTTTCCCCAACAAACCCCTCCAGTTTCCTTCTCTTCGGCTCTCTGCAAACCCACACAGAGTGACAACCGCCCCACTTAGCTAGCTACTGCCTCCCTCCTTATTCCCAATGCAAAGTCACAAGCCCCAGTACTGACAGTTGTCGCTGTGTTGATCCCAGGATATTAGAGACACAAAGTGGGTGAGGTAATATATTTTAGGGAACCAACTTCTGTTGTTGAGAGAGACAAGCTTTCGAGCATATGGCTATAACTATGCTGCAGAAGACAGCAGTCATACATCATGATCTGGATAGCTTGGTAAGCTGGGTCCGTTCAAACAAAATGTATTTTAATACAGCCAAATGCAAGGTCTAGGAACAAAGAATACAGGCTGTACCTAGAGAATGAGGTGCTGTGTCCTGGAAAGCAGCAACTCGGAAAAGGGACACAGTGGACCAGCAACTCAGCAGAGCCCCCTGTGCACTGTAGTGGCAAAAAGGGCTAATGCAATCTTTGGCTGTGTAAAGGGGAATAGTGGGCAGAAGTAGGGAGGTGATTTTAACTCAGCATATGGTACTGGTGAGACCAACACCAGGATACTGCATCCAGTATGATGCTTTCCAGTATGATGCAGAAAAGAGCCACAGAAATGACTCAAGGGCTGGAGAAAACACCTTACAATGAGAGACTTCAGGAGCTCAATATGTGTAGAAGGCCGAGGGGCAACTTGATTACTGTATATAAGTACCTTCGTGGGGAGAAAATAACACCTACTAAAAGGCTCTTTAATCTAGTGGAGAAAGGCAGAACACAAACCACTGGCTGGACATAGAACCCAGACAAAATAGAAATAGGGCCCAGTTTTTTAACAGTGAGGATAATTAACCATTGGAACAAACTACCAAATCAAGTCTGGATGCCTTTCTGGAAGATATTCTTTATCCAGGCACAAGTTGTTGGGCTCCACACAGGGGTAACTGAGTGAAGGTCTCTGGCCTGTGTTATACGGGAGGTCAGATCAGATGATCTGATGGTCCCTTCTGCCCTTAAACTCTATGAATCTATGAAAAATGCAAACCAAAAATGTCACATGCACGTAAACCACTTAGAAATAATAACCCATGAACACAGGTGCAGCCTTCCAGAAATGCTTGAAGGGAACCTTCATCTGAGGAAGGAGCAACATCAGAAGCACTAAATGCATCCAAATCATCCCCAGGAAGTGGGAGTGCCCAGCATACTATTAGGAGGAGTGTGAGCTGGGGGAGATGCGCACATGCTCAAACACACACAGACACCCCCCCCCCCCCATGAGATGTTAGACATGGGTAGGGGTTATGTGAACACCATGGTTACAGTGAAGAGAGTAAATATAATTTTATAAGGGGTAGGAACTAACTGAGGAGGTTCAGAAGAGGCTTTCCTCTGGGCAGGATGTTTCATTAGTCAATTGCGGCAACCCTTGCACTTTCCTATGAATTATCCAGTACCAGCCACTGATGGAGACAGACCCCTTGTCTGATCTGGTCAGGTAATTTCTATACTCCTATGTGGGAATCAGGGGAAAGTTTAATCCAGTTCTTGCGGTTAATAATTCTGAGGACAATAACTGATGCTTAAGAAAAAGGTGAAAACAACCCCTGCTGAACTTGACCATTGTATCATCTTGTCCATAAAGAGAGGATTCTGTCCTGATCTCTCAGGCAGTCAGATAATGTCCTGGAGCATGAGAGTTTTGAGGACTTCTCTCTTAACTCACAGAGCTACGTATATTATTAATGAACTCTTTCTATTTTATCACCATTTTCTGGTCGTGTATTGCCTGGAACAGAACACAATATTCCAGGTGCAATAACAGTGCTCCTGATTTATTTAATCTCCCTTTCAGACCTGACTTTAGAAGAACAAAGACCATTTAATGGTCCTGCTCCCTGAAAAGGAGTTAACCCTACTTGTGATTTCCCCTCTGTTTTAAATAATGGCTGCTCGGGGCCCTGGCTCTCATTGCTGGACTTCACTGAGAGGTTTGCTCCTAGCAGAGCAGATCTGTTTATTTGGGGCTCATTGTGCCCTCACTGAAATGACTTATTTACTTCATTTTATTTCTATTCACATTCCCTCCAAGGGACAGCAGGGGCCAAGTGGGTAAGATACAGAAAAGTGTAATTTAATTATTATTTTTTTAGGATTCTGCTTTTGTTAGGTTTCTTGGGATGTTTTTAATCATGTCATGCCATTTTTACAACTGGAACAAGAGACATGTGTTCCCAGCTTGTACAGATGAGCGGTCTCCTCAGAACAGTGAGATCGTGGGGTACAGCAATGCTGGTAACTTGCCCTTGCCTGGGGGTCTCTGCCAGTTTTGTTGAATAGAAGAGACCAGGTATGGATCTCTGAGGTGAAATATAGAACTCTGAAACACACCGGTCGGGTGCAATTGCACTGTCCCCTTGGGTCCTTTGCTTCCTTGTTCTCAGTGCAGAGCCAAGCAATCCCAAGCCAAGCAAGGAGGATTGTTGAACACCAATTAACACATCTTGCAGAATTCCTGGGGTAAAGATGGATAACCTCTTAAACCCGCCCCCACCCCCCCATAACTTCTGCCCCTGGAATTTTTGTCATGAAGGAGAGAGCCACAACTGCCTTTCAGCTCTCCTTTCCTGGCTGGCAAGATCAAAGGTGTTTGGTGAAAGCAAAGGTCTTTTACCTGCTCCACGCACAGAGCCCTGGGGAATTCAGCTTGCTCTGGGTGGGGGAATCAGCTGCCTTGTGCATGCTCTCTTTGTTCACACCTTAACCTGCTGGCATCCCCTGCAGAAGGATGCCAAACCTCCTGCAAGGTTAACAGTGTGTGCCCAGCGCCCATTGTCCCTTTAGGGCTACCATAGTGTGATGGGCTCCTCCACAGTGAGGGGAAAGCCATGCTTCTGATGCTTCCACCTTGCGCTGGCCTTGGAGTGGGAGCTGCGGGTTCTCTCTCTGTAGATTTGTTCTGAAGAGGAGCCTGCTGCTTTGTGTGCTGGGAGACTGGGCTTTCCTCCCTCCGCCTGGAGTATTAGTCCTGAATTTGATTAGTCTGCACACAGTTCTTCAAAGCTGTTTAAATTCCTTCCAGCTGACAGCAATCAGCTGCAGAAGTAATCACGCTGCCTGAGGGCCAAGAGGGCTTTAGGCCCGTCAAGCCTGAGTTGTATTACTTTGTGCAGTGCTGAGTGTGGGCCTGAATCGCTGTTTCCAGTAACTACAACAGAACTTTATTAGAGACCGTGCAAACAGCGAGCGTTATCTGTGCCTCTCAGTGGCTATGGCACTGCTTCAATGGCAGGTCCTGGTCTTCTCCCGATGGGCACTGGCGTGTTGTAGAGGTTGTGTGCTCAATTCTGTGGGGGTGGGAAGTGGGGGAAGAGCCTTTGGTCCCAGTAGCGATGCTGTAATTTACAGGGAGAATAACTAAGGGCTGTGGGTGAGATGGGCTGCCCTGGGGGTAATCTGTGGGGGGGGGATCCGTCAAGGCTCTGACAAATGGCAGATGTTGAAATAAATTCTCATTTTCAGGCACCAGAGACAAATGTGGACGTGCAGTGGCCATAATCACCACAAGGAACACGATTTGGCTAAACCCCCATTGCAACACCAACGAGCTGGTGCGCGTCCTCCTGTACTTACACAGCATCCCAAGGTTGGTGCCATTTCCAGGCTGGGCAGGGTGTCAAGGCAGGACAGGCCAAACTCGACTGGGGGCTAGCTGAATGGAGCTGGCGTCCTTTGGCAGCATGAGGAGATGGCCCCAAACAGCTCTGAAACTGCACGAGCAACAGATCCGCTGACTGCGTGCTTTGGACATGCAGCGTGCAGTATACGCATGCTAAGCAGCAGCATTATGTGTATGTTGTTCTACGTTTCCAAGCATTGCCATAAATCCAAACCATTTCTCACTCTTCTGCATTAACTCCAAAAATAGGGCTTAGAAAACCTGACGTTGACAATTCTGGGGTAGCCCAGCAACAGCCCCGTGACATAGTTCTAGGAAACAACCTTCCTGACAGCCTGTCCTCCAGTGACGAAGGCAGCTGCAGAGGCTGAGCAAGTGTGCCTCAGGTGGACGAGCGACATATTGGCATCACGGATGTGATGCAGTTTGCCAGGAAGGGCTAAACGCATTCAGAATGTATCCGTTTGTCACGTGCTGTGTCGTTTCCCCCCTACTGCTGCTGCCATGGGCTCCCTGGCTGACGGGGCTTCTTCCAGCTCCTCACAGACTCCGTTAGGTCTTAGCTCCTGGTCTGCGTTCTGTAATGCTTTGAAAAATACGATTAGGTCCAAGTGTGAGCTTTGTCATCAGTGCAGCCGAAAGGCTGCTGCGTGCCAGCCCTTGGGCATAGTCAGTGAGTGCTGCCACTCCCCATGGCTTTCCTCCTCACTACGTGCCTCCAGAGAGATGTGATAGTCTGTGTTGTCTGCAGATTTGCTGCTGGGGTCTGGGGTGTGGTGCGGCATGGCGGGAGGTGGTAGAATCTCCTTCCTTAGAGGTTTTTAAGGTCAGGCTTGACAAAGCCCTGGCTGGGATGATTTAACTGGGAATTGGTCCTGCTTTGAGCAGGGGGTTGGACTAGATGACCTTCTGGGGTCCCTTCCAACCCTTATATTCTATTCTATGATTCTATGATTCTATGAATGACAGTGTCATGGGAGGAGGTGTGGTAGGTGGAGCATCAGGAATTCACTTAGCAGTAAAAGGGAAGAAGAAAGAGCAGCCTAGGCAACTTCAAAGGGAAGATATTGTGGCTAATAAAAAGACGCCAGTTAGTGGCTTCCCTTTACAGAATGGTGTGGGTATGCCCGGCACGGTACCCCATGTTATCTAACAGTACCCCATGAATAACCCGTGCTGCACTGGGGCAATGACACACTAACTATTTCTTTCCCTTTCCTCACAGAGCAGAGTGCCGAGCTTTGGGCCTAACCATTCTGGTAGATGCTCGTCGCTGTTCACCAGTTCCTGCCCTTTTTAAGGCTTTCAGCTTAGTACAGGTGAGCCCGCAGAAGCAGCCCCAGCCCTTTGGCCCCAGGCTCTTTGGTGTGGTTGCTGCGTTCCAGCTGCCAGCTGCCCTGAAATCCATCCGTGCCATCCCAGGTTTTGGCTGCTTTCAGGAGGTGGAGCGCTGCCCTGTTTCAGGGGGACCCCTTGCCTGTACTTCCCAGTCCTCTGGAAAAGCCAGAGCCCTGACTTTGGGGGGGGAAACAGCTGCACTCCTTTCAGCCACTCTGAGAGCCTTGTCCCCAGGCCTGTAAGTGCTGTCCACGGAACTCTGCTCAGAATGTGCAACCACATTTCTGGCGAGTGTCTCTGTTGGCATCAAGATTTTGTTTTCATTCATCAGCTGCGTGAAATACTCAGTGGACCGTCACCTACAAAGATGCATTAGAAGTGAAGCAGAAAGGCTAGGGCTGTGGCTCGCGGGACTGTCCCTGAAGGAGAAGGGCGGTGCTTTATGTCAGTGCTATTGGGAGGAACGTGTACTGCTGTTGATCTGGCAAGGGGGTGAATGATTGGAAGCAGACATGCTGTAACTTAATATTGTTTCAGGTCAAAGGCTTTCATGTCAGTCAGCTGGAAATCAAGTGTATTGTGTTGACACTGATCAGAACTTATTTCCCATCTGTTGTTAGAAATCCAAACGAGGTAACGAGTTGTAGCTACAACTAATCATGGTTAAGCAGGTGCCTCTTTGCACTGGCCTTTTGGCCCTGCAGGGTGTCCACTCAATCAGACTCTGAATGAACCCATGATGAGATTTTAATGACACTTGTGCATGCAGAGAGGGCAGTCTGCTGGCTGCGTGGGTGGTGCTTTGCTCTGCCAAATCAGAGAGCTGGGGCTGAGTCATGGGTCTCCTCTCTTCCTTCCAAAGCTGGGTGGAGTTGGGAGCTGTGCTCAAGCAGCATGCTTCGCCCCTGGGGCAAGAGAGTATCTCATGGTGCTGAGCTCTTGCTCCCAGTGCTGCCAGGGTAACAGTCACAGCTCCTAGGAAAGGGACTGTCTTTCATTTCACAGTGTCGCTCCTTGGTGCCCGGGTCAGGGCTCTGAAGGGTGCATAGCTGTGTTTCAGATGACAGACTTCCTAGAAATCAGTAATGCTTTTAGGGAACTGGGTGATCAGAACATAGGACTAGAAGGGGGGATCTTTGGTCGTTGAGTCCAGTTCCCTGCTATCATAGGTACCCCAGTTGTATAATCCTGTTAATACATTTATCAAGCTCCATCTTCAAACCAGTTGGGTTTCTTCTCCCCACTCCTCCTACTGGGAACAGTTTTCCAAGGGTTGTGGTGGAGTCTCCACCACTGACTATTTTAAAGCCAAGATTGGACGTTTTTCTAAATGTTATGCTCTAGGAATTATTTTGGGGATGTTCTCTGGCCTGTGTTATGCAGGAGTTCAGACTAGATGATCAGAATGGTCCCTTCTGAGCTTGGAAGTTTCAGTATCATTAGTCACTATCAGTATCATTAGTCAGTATCATTATCCCCATTTTACAGATGGAGAAAGTGAGGCACAGAGAAATTAAAGTGACTTTCTTACCCAGCAGGCCAATGGCAGAGCTAGGAATAAAACCCTGTACGCTTGAGTCCTAGGCCGGTACCCTAGTACTCTATTGCCTAGACTGTAGAGTATAGACTAGAATATATTTTGATGTTCATATTCCACTGTATCTCAGGGGATGGATGGTTATATACTCCTGTTTTTTTGCCAGAGGAAAAGTACTATCATAGAAGATTAGGGTTGGAAGAGACTTCAGGAGGCCATCTAGTCCAACCTCCTGCTCAAAGCAGGACCAACCCCAACTAAATCATCCCAGCCAGGGCTTTGTCGAGCCAGGTCTTAAAAACCTCCATGGATGGAGATTCCACCACCTCCCTAGGTAACTCATTCCAGTGCTTCACCACCCTCCTAGTGAAAACGTTTTTCCTAATATCCAACCTAAACTTCCCCCACTGCAACTTGAGACCATTGCTCCTTGTTCTGTCATCTGCCACCACTGAGAACAGCCGAGCTCCCTCCTCTTTGGAAAACCCCTTCGGGTAGTTGAAGGCTGCTATCAAATCCCCCCTCACTCTTCTCTTCTGCAGACTAAATAACCCCAGTTCCCTCAGCTTCTCCTCGTAAACCATGTGCCCCAGCCCCCTAATCATTTTTGTTGCCCTCTGCTGGACTCTCTCTAATTTGTCCACATCCTTTCTGTAGTGGAGGGCCCAAAACTGGACACAGTACTCCAGATGTGGCCTCACCAGTGCCAAATAGAGGGGACTAATCACTTTCCTCGAACTGCTGGCAACGCTCCTACTAATACAGCCCAATATGCCGTTAGCCTTCCTGGCAACAAGGGCACACTGACTCATATCCAGCTTCTTGTCCACTGTAATCCCCAGGTCCTTTTCTGCAGAACTGCTGCTGAGTCAGCTGGTCTCCAGCCTGTAGCGGTGCATGGGATTCTTCTGTTCCAAGAGCAGGACTCTGCACTTGTCCTTGTTGAACCTCATCAGATTTCTTTTGGCCCAATCCTCCAATTTGTCTAGGTTACTCTAGACCCCATCCCTACCCTCCAGTGTATGTATCTCTCTCCGCAGTTTAGTGTCATCTGTGAACTTGCTGAGGGTGCAATCCATCCCATCATTCAGAGCCTGCATCCCCAGCCCAGAGCCCCCTCCCACATCCTGAACCCCTCATTCCAAGCCCCACCCTGGAGCCTTCACCCCTGCACCCCAACCGTTTTGCCCCAGCCCTGAGCCCCTCCCACACCCCAAACCCCTCATTCGCAGCTCCATTGTGTCGTAGGCATCAACAATTTTCTTCAACTGGGTGGCCAGAAAAAAAGTTTTAAAACCACTGGCCTAGACCATCCCTGACAGGTGTTTCTTTAACCAGTTTTTAAAAACCTCCGGTGATGGGGATTCCACAACCTCCCTTGGAAGCCTGTTCAGGAGCTTAACCACCCTGAGAGTTAAAAAGTTTTTCTTACTAAATAACCTAAATCTCCCTTGCTGCAGATTAAGCCCATTACTTAGAATCATAGAATCTCAGGTTTGGAAGGGACCTCAGGAGGTCATCTAGTCCAACCCCCTGCTCAAAGCAGGACCAATCCCCAACTAAATCATCCCAGCCAGGGCTTTGTCAAGCCTGACCTTAAAAACCTCCAAGGAAGGAGATTCCACCACCTCCCTAGGTAACCCATTCCAGTGTTTCACCACCCTCCGAGTGAAAGAGTTTTTCCTAATTTCCAACCTAAACCTAAAGTGATGCAACTTGAGACCATCACTCCTTGTTCTGTCCTCTGCTACCACTGAGAACATCTAGATCCATCCTCTTCGGAATCCCCTTTCAGATAGTTGAAAGCAGCTATCAAATCCCCCCTCTTTCTTCTCTTCTGCATACTAAACAATCCCAGTTCCCTCAGCCTCTCCTCATAAGTCATGTGTTCCAGTCCCCTAATCATTTTTGGTGCCCTCCGCTGGACGTTTTCCAATTTTTCCACATCCTTCTTGTCGTGTGGGGCCCAAAACTGGACACAGTACTCCAGATGAGGCCTCACCAATGTCGAATAGAGGGGAATGATCACATCCCTCGATCTGCTTGCAATGCCCCTACTTATACATCCCAAAATGCCATTGGCCTTCTTGGCAACAAGGGCACACTGTTGACTCATATCCAGCTTCTCATCCACTGTAACCCCTAGGTCCTTTTCTGCAGAACTGCTGCCTACCCTTTCGGTCCCTAGTCTGTAACGGTGCATGGGATTCTTCCGTCCTAAGTGCAGGACTCTGCACTTGTCCTTGTTGAACCTCATCAGATTTTTTTTGGCTCAATCCTCTAATTTGTCTAGGGCTCTCTGTATCCTATCCCTACCCTCCAGCAATTCTACCTCTCCTCCCAGTTTAGTGTCATCTGCAAACTTGCTGAGGGTGCAATCCACACCATCCTCCAGATCATTTATGAAGATATTGAACAAAACCGGCCCAAGGACCGACCCTTGGGGCACTCCACTTGATACCGGCTGCCAACTAGACATGGAGCCATTGATCCCTACGTGTTGAGCCCGACAATCTAGCCAGCTTTCTCTCCACCTTATAGTTCATTCATCCAATCCACACTTCTTTAACTTGCTGGCAAGAATACTGTGGGAGACCGTGTCAAAAGCTTTGCTAAAGTCAAGGAACAACTTCTTGTTGTACCTTCAGTAGACATGGAGAACAATTGATCACCATTCTCTTTATAACATACTTAACATATTTGAAGACTCTCAGGTCCCCCGTCAGTCTTCTTTTCTCAAAACTAAACATACCCAGTTTTTTTACCCTTTCCTTATAGGTCAGGTTTTTGTCATTTTTGTTGCTCTACTTTAGACTCTCCAATTTGTCCACATCTTTCCTAAAGTGTGGTGGGCAAAACTGGACACAGTATCCAGCTGACACCTCACAAGTGCTGAGTAGAGTGGGGCAATTACCTCGTGTCCTACGTTCAACACTCCTGTTAATACACCGCAGAAAGATATTGGCTGTTTTCACAACTGCATCTCATTGACTCATATTCAATTTCTGATCCACTGTAACCCCAGATAGTTTTCAGCAGAATTACACCTAGCCAGCTATTCCCCATTTTGTAGTGGTGCCTTTGGTTTTTCCTTCCTCAGTGTAGTCCTTTGCACTTATCTATTGAATTTCATGCTGTTGCTTTCTGATCAATTCTCTCATTTGTTAAAGTCCTTTTGAATTCTAACCCTGTCCTCCAAAGTGCTTGGGACTCCTTCTAGCGTGGTGTCATCTTATTAGTGAAAAAGTAAACAAAGAGATTAGAGAGACAGAACTCTATGTAAACTTGAAAGCTTGTCTCTTTCACCAGCAGAAGTTGGTCCAGAAAAAATACTACCTCACCCACCTTGTCTCTCTAATATCCTGGGACCAACGCGGCTACAACAACACTGCAAGCAAGAAACCAAAAATAGATTGTGAGCTATAGGAAGTTTCCTTTGCCAGCCTCTTGCCTGCTCAGATTCTGCCCTTCCCTTTCTAACCTCTTGTGCACCAGTCCCTCCTTCTGCTGCATTCAACCTGCAAGTCAGAATTAGGTCTGGTCAAAATTGTTCTTTTAACTTTTTTCCAACTGATAATTGAGCTTCTGACAAAACAAAAACTGTTGTGGAAAGTGTCTGCTTTCCTTGGAAATATTCCATTTTCTGTCAGGAGTACAGCCCTTAGCTGCACCTGCTCAGTACTCCTGACATCCTAGGCAGCCTGATGGACCACCCTGCTTGACTGGCTAAAGAAGCCAGCAGGCCGGTTCTTAAACCTAGCAGCATCAACAGCTTGCTGGCTGTTCAATGCACATGCCCACAGACTCTCTGCCTTCCTGTGCTTGTCTCCCCAAGCCCTTCTCCTACTTTGCTCCTCCACAGCTCCAGCCCACATCCTGCCCTGCACCCAGCCATGTTCCCATCCTGTTCCAGCCTTGGTTCTGCTTCAGAACCAGCCCTGATCCTGCCTTCCCTGACTTCTGGTAATCCAGTTCTGACCCTTGGCTCTGATTCCTGACTCCATCTGCACCTTTGGCTCTGGCATTTGGACTCTGACTCTGCTTCTGATCTTTGGCCCTGCTTCCTGGGTCTGGCCCTGTCTCAACCCTGGGCTCTGGTGTTCAGATGCTGACCACTAGGCCGGACTCCTACTCTGACCACTAGGCCTGGCCACCTACTACCCAGTCCTCTGACATTTTTTTTCTCTGGAAAACTAAAAGAATGTCTGTCTCTGACAGTTTTTGGATGAAAATTTTAGTTTTTCAATGAAAATTTCCAAAGGAACCCCTACCCCCCCCCCCACACACACACACTTTCTGGTTATCTGTAATCATAATTCCAATTTTACAGTCTCATCGTGTGTTCTCAGAAATTATTGGATTGTCAGAACAGTAGCATCATGACCCTATTATGCAAGCAGGTAGGAGGAAAAGAAAGGTGGTGGTGGGGAGCCTAATTAAATATAAATGTTCAGTGCCACCAGCTGTCTGGAAACGATAGTTCATCTTCACCCACCCGCACTGTCCAGCAGACACACCATTCAGATTTCAGAATGTCTGTACAGCTGTGATCTGTGTCTCTCTCCCCTCTCCCTTCCCCTCCCAGGTGATCCCCAGTTTTTACTCCAGTAATTCTGAGCTAGTTGTGTGCCCTGTGCGCTGTTCTGGCCTTTTGCTGACATTTGTCAGTGGTCGAATGAAAAGGTAAACAAACTATTCAGAAAAACGGCTGTAGGCTTAGAAGGGCATTGTATCCCACTCATACAAGGGGGTGGGGTGAGGAGAGATCCTTCTTTAGCATAAGGAAAAGGCTGTTTCCTTGCCCAGAGATCTCCACTGCGGTTATGGCCCTTGTATTTGTAGAATCCTGAATTGGGCCTCTCTGAACATCGGCCTTTCATTTCTCAATCAAAAGAAAGACCAATGACTGGATCAGTTAAAGGGAAGCACCTCTAGGATTCAAGACATTAGACTTGGACAGCTTCTTCCACCTTTCACAGTGAGAGCTGAGGCAGAACTGTATTCTTAGAGCTGGCACTCAAGCCATTAATTTAGAGTCAAGTTCAGCCGATGGGGTAGAAATGGGAGACTGTTAAAGCAATCTGCAGCGCCATTCGCTGGAGTTCATCATCCCCTGCGTTTCCCTGTGATTGCCTACTTTGTTTGCTTATGCTGCTGCTCACTTTGGGTGTTACGTCCTTAAAGGTCGCTGGAAAACATGGTTACAGAGTTCTCCTGTCAAAGGCTTGCCGGTCAATTGCATTTCTTCTGGACAGATTGCAGCTGAAGCCATACCAAAAAAATTTGTTTGTTGCTGTCAGGGGGTTTCACTCGGCACCAGGGCACCTCCTCCTGGCTGCTCTGGGGATTAACTCTTTCCAGGTGCTGCACCTTCCTCTGGCAGTCCCTTCACCTGTCTTCTCTCACCCTGTTGCACCTCTTGCCCCAGGAGCTGCAGCTTCTTGTTCATGACTTGGCCCTCCAACCAGGTGGCTATCATCCTCCCCCTCTGGGGTATCAAAGTCTTCCAAGGTGAATTGTCCCAGGCGGTCTGTTCGCCGCTGTCTGGTCCGTACTACTTCCCTGGTGGCTGGTAGAGAAAACTGCGCCCACCTTCTACACCAGGTTTCAGCTCAGGGCCCCTCTCAGCAGCCAAGGTCTGCCCTACCCCATACGTTGCTGCTTTTCCTGCCTTCCTGGCTCTCCCCCTGCTCTGGGGTTGCCAGCCCAGACTCCCTCCTTCCAGGGAGTAGCTGTAGGCTACCTAGCTCTATAGCCCCAAACACACCTCCCTTCCCCCAGGGAATGACTGCAGACTACTTCCCTGAAGCCCCCCTGCTGCTCTCAGCTCCTGGGCTTTAGACAGGCCCCTCCTGTTCTTTTCAGCTGAGCCTTGTCTAATTAATCCTTGCTCCCTGGCTCCTTCTCCAGGTGCAGCTTGGGCAGTTAATTGGCCCCCCCTCACCACCTTAACCTTTCAAGTCTTGTGTGGGGTGGACACCCATCACAGTTGCTTAATATTTTATTTCTGATATTTTGGCTTTACCAATCCAGAGACCCTCACAATTTAGCTTGGGCAAAGGCTTTCCTATAGCCTTTTATTGGAAGAGCTCCTATTAGAACACTTGCTAAAATATGAAGCCTTCCCTGCGTCCAAACCAAGCCATGATTTGGTTAGCAACCCCACTATTCACATAGTCCATTTTCTTTACTCCTGTCTTAGCTCTTTGTGCCTGTCTCTAACTTTCCTGTGGAATGCTCTCCCACTTAGAGACCTCCTGCTGGAGCAGAGAGAGAGAGAGTTTGAGGCCACAGCTGCCAGGACATCCTTGAATTTTGGTGCTTCTGTCTGTTAATGCTGGTGGCTGGAGGCAAGTCCTTGGTGCTGGGCTGGGAGCAGTTAAGTAAAGAACACAAAATTGCTGGCATTGTGAGGAAAATGCCACTTTTCAGGTAGGGACAGTGCCTGGCGAAAAAGGCAACTTTTTACTGCATCCAGGTAACCTGACTCTGTGCAGTGTTTCCCTAAGGTAACTGCAGGGCTAACAGCTTGGAGAGTACATTCTCTTCAGGGAAGACCCTCACCAACAGGTATAACTGCCTGCTCCTTAAGGGGAGACTGTGCCCTCCAGTTTGAATTGCAGCTATCTTTGAAGAAGGCATTGCAATCTCTTGTGTTGAAATAAAATAATGGTACATAATGTGATGGGTTGGATCACAGAAGACCCCGTGGGGCTGCCAACTGATGAGCCAAGACTACTTCTGCCCCTGCTTTCCCTGCCAATTTGGGACTCCAGAGCCCTGCCTGGTAGTGCCAGACATGCTTGCTGGCTACAAACACAGACCCAGGTCTGAACCACGTCCCACAAGCTGCAGGCTTAACTGAAAGCAGCGTAAGAAGTGTTCCTGTCTCTAACATTCAGATGCCCAACACCCAATGGGGTCCAAACCCCAGAGTAATCCGTTTTACCCTATATAAAGGTAAACTCAAAATGTTTGCCCTCTATAACACTGATAGAGAGATACGCACAGCTGTTCCCCCCCCCCCCAGTATTAATGCATACTCTGGGTTAAATAATACGTAAAAAGTGATTTTATTAAATGCAGAAAGTAGTATTTAAGTGGTTCCAAGTACTAACAGACAGAACAAAGTGAATTACCAAGCAAAATGAAATAGAACACTCAAGTCTATGCCTAATACAGTAAGAAAACTGAATACAGATAAAACCTCACCCTCAGAGGTGTTCTAGTAAGTTTCCTTTTACAGACTAGCCTCCTTCTAGTCTGGGTCCAGCAATCGCTCACCCACCCTATAGTTACTGTCCTTTGTTCCAGTTTCTTTCAGGTATCCTTGGCGGTGGAGAGGCTATCTCTTGAGCCAGCAGCTGACAAAATGGAGAGGTCTCCCAGGGGTTTAAATAGACTTTCTCTTGTGGGTGGACACCCCACCCTTCCCCTGTGTAGAATTCCAGCTACAAGATGGAGTTTTGGAGTCACATGGGCAAGTCACATGTCCACGCACGACTCAGACCTTACAGGTAGCAGCAATGGTTCACATGCTACCTTGAAAGTCCTCAAATAAACTTCTTATGTGGATTGGAGCCTTCCAAGATCCATTGTCCATTAAGTGTTTCTTGATTGGGCACTTAATTTGCACATTCCCTTCTCAGGAAGCTGACCAAATGCTTTACTGAGGCTATTTAAAATTCAACAAGTATACAGCCAATATTCATAACTTCAAATACAAAAATGATACATGCATACAAATGGGATGATTAGATTCAGTGGATAATAACCTTTTCAGAGATATGTTACATGGCATATGTGTCATAAAACATATTCCAGTTATGTCATATACACGTTCATAAGCATATTTCCATAAAGCCTTAAGGGGTGCAATGTCACACATACGCCTAAGCAATCCATCCAGCTCGTAAGAGATCTGTGCTCTGTTCTCTGTTACAGGACATGGTTCCTCATTGTATTCACGGAGTTCTCCTGCTTGTTGAAAGAGAGCTCACGTTTCGGATGGAGAAGCCAACAGCGGTGCAGGTAATGGAATCATTCTTTCAGGAACTGCTGGGGAGCTCCTGATACTTGTGTTAAGCCTCTGAACAGTGAGCACTCTGTGCACTAATTTGTAGCAATTTCCCCCTCTCTTGGTATTGACACCTCCTCATCTATTATTGGGGGTGGACCACATCCACCCTGACTGAATTGGCCTTGTCACCATTGGTTCTCCACTTGTGAGGTAACTCCCTTCTCTTCGTGTGTCAGTATATTTATGCCTGTATCTGTAATTTTCACTCCATGCATCTGAAGAAGTGGGGTTTTTTACCCACGAAATCTTATGCCCAAATAAATCTGTTAGTCTTTAAGGTGCCACCAGACTCCTCGTTGTCTCTATTCTTTACTGGACCTAACCAGAATAGAAACACAAATAAGGTGCTTTGCATGTTTTTGTCTTTTTGTTGTTTGTTTTGCTTTTTTGGTTGCGCTTTTTCTTCTTCTAAGACTTGCTAGCTGGTAAGTCTTCTGCTGTGAAAAGTGTTATTTATGTGTTTGTTAATATCACTTTTCACACCAGACTTACTCAATCCCGGCAAGCCCTGGGACAAATTTAAGTCCTGAATGGGGAGGCGGGCAGGGAGGCAGTGGGGCCCAAGGACAATGGCGGGGGTGGTGAGCCTGGGGCCAGAGCCTGGAACCAGAGCCTGCCACCATGTGGACGGAGCTCAAAGCCCCATTGCCAAAGCCTGCCTCCCCTACCCCTGGGAAAGTGGGGAATTCACCAGCTGCCTGCACCTCCAGAGTTTTTCTCTCTGGAGGGGGGCAGGACCCCACCGCTGCTGGTGGCCCTGGGAGAGGGGCCACTGCTTTGCACCCCCCCAGCACAGCCCAGATGACTGTGGCCGCATGCGAGAAACACTGGACTAGATGCAGCCCCTCCTGGCCTTGAACTCTATGGCGGAGGCGCTGTTCTGTGACTCCAGGAAGCTCAACACAGAAAGGTCCAACACAGAGGGAGAGGCATGTTAAAGGAGTAGCTTAATATACTACTGATAGTTGCAAAATGTAAACCTCAAAACATACAAGATGCACAACGTGGCTGAGTTAGTGTGGCTATCGGAAGCTTAACTTCTGCGTCCCCTGATCACCTGCAGTTCTGACTGTGCAGCTGCGGTGTGACTTCAGTGAGTTAAAATTGATAGAGCAGCATCCAAAAGTGTATTATTTGTAGGGTGGGAGCACAGCAGCTGTAAAAATAATTGTAATTGCACAAGGAGGAGGGGGCAATAGAGAAGGCCTCCTGATTCATACTGAGGAAGTGGTGACAAGGCATGCATCACCAGGGACACGCTAAGGCTCTGGGCAGGGCCCAAGCACTCACCCAAGCCACTGCTCTGTGATATCTGGGCATTTTCCCCACTGCAGTTCTGAGAGCCCTCTGGTTGGGCCCTGGGTAGTCGGCCCCTTCTGGGGTTGTCAGTGAACAGAACAACAAGGGAAATAACCCAAAGGAATCATCCCAAAGCTGGACGTAGGCGCTCTTCCTTCAGAGGGCACTTCTTGGGCTGAGTTCACAGGTAATAAAGGGGAATGGTTCACTCTCAAGGTGAGTCAGCATTGGGACCTCTTTTCCCTCAGGGAGGGTTCATTGAGGAGCTCCTGCCTTCAGCCAGCCCTCTCTCTAGAAGCTGAGGACTGGAGGTGAGGTGAGGTGAGGTCTGGTCTGGTCTGGTCTGGTCTGCATCAGCTGAGCTGGGTTTCTCCCTTTTAAGCTCTCCCAGATGTGATGAGGCGGGGCCCACATTATCCTGTTAACCTGTGTTACCCAGCATGGGGTTTGCTGCATACCCCATCACAGGCCCCTTTTGCTGGATACTGTTCATACACGATATAGCAGGACAATCATTGTTCCAAAGAGCTCAAAATCTGAATTGCCTGCAGGTGAGTGAGTGGAGGATTGGACTCAGCATGCTGTCAGCGCTTGAGTCAGACATGACCTCAGTTGTAAATGTGTAAGGAGCCACGAGACCTGGGATGAAGCCCTAGCCCCTTTGAAGTCAAAGCTCCCATTGACTTCAGTGGAACCAGGATTTCACCCAGGATTCCTACAGAAAAAGGTCCTGAATGCTCTGAGATTCATTTTGGGAGAAGTTGTTTTAATGTGGCTGTGTGTGCGGAGTCTGGCCATCTCTGGTTACAAAGAGAATGAGCAAAGGTGATAAGCTGGAGGCATTTGTTACCGATCATTCACACGCAGGGGGGCATTTTGTGTGTGTGTGTGTGTGTGTGTGAGGGACATAGAGCAAGGGATACGGAGGAATATCTGTGTGGGTGAAAACAACCAAAGTAATGAATGGGAAAAAAAGTTTTAAACAAGTGAAAGCTGCCAAATCCAAGGGGATCAGAAACTGGCAGAACAGAGATTAATAAAGAAATTGGCATACAGGAGAATCAGAGGGAAAATCACAGTTTTAATGAGAAAATGGAAACTTTGCAACTCTAGAGGAATGTTGGATGTTTGTGTCTGAATTTCTCACTCCCAGCCCAGCGCTGCAGGCTCTCTCAGCGGCTCTTGTCCATTTTCCCAGTGGGTATTATGTTTCTTGGATGGCACCAGCTCAGCTGCAGCCTCTGACGGGAGGAAGCTGGGGTGTATTGGATCTTGGGTACCCTCTAAGTGGCAAATGACTCCTGGCATAGACCGGAGACACACTGTGATTGGAGCAGAGAAGGGCTGCTGTGTTAGGATGCTTCTCCGGACGTTACTTTGGGAAGCCCATTGCCAGTTTTACAATCCCACAGAAACTTTGTAAACATGCATGAATCATACCATGCCATGTGACCATGGAAGGCAGAGATTTGCTCTGTCGCCACCAGATAATTTTGGCTTTGGAGGAATTCCTGGCTCCTTTCAATCTTCCGTTTCACACTGCTTTGCGTCCAGTTTGCTCACTGAACTACAGAGTGGGAAGCTAGTGAATTATTCTAAGATTGCTGAGCTTTTGTTTTTTCCTTCACCTTGTGATTGGATTGCACGTACCTCCCCTGTGCATGTAGAGGTTCAGGCTGTCAGAGAGCTGGGATCTCTTGTTAGCCCTGCTGGAAAGTGGATCAATAGAAAGACGTTCACCGTACTTGTTCCCCTCCCCTCGTAGGGTGTGCCTGAACTGCAACAAAAAAAGGTGTTTTCTTGACTCCGGTTAGCCAATGATCAATGATCAGTAACAGATTTAAAGGTGGCAATTCTGCAACAGAAAAGCTTCAAAAACAGACTCCAGTGAGAAACTGCTGAGCTTGAATTAATAGGCCAACTAGATCCCATTAACTTGGGTTTGAATAGAGACTGGGAGTGGCTGGGTCATTACACATATTGAATCTATTTCCCCATGTTAAGTTTCCTCACACCCTCTTGTCAACTGTCTAAATGGTCCATCTTGATTATCACTACAAAAGTTTGTTTTCTCCTGCTGATAATAGCTCATCTTAACTAATTAGCCTCTTACTCCACCTTTTCATGATCTCTGTATGAATATATATATATATCTTCTTACTGTGTGTTCCATTCTATGCATCCGATGAAGTGAGCTGTAGCCCACGGAAGCTTATGCTCAAATAAATTAGTTAGTCTGTAAGGTGCCACAAGTACTCCTGTTCTTTTTGCGGATACAGACTAACATGGCTGTTACTCTGAAACCAATGACTGTTAGCCAGGATGGGCAGGGATGGTGTCCCTAGCCTCTGTTTGCCAGAAGCTGGGAATGGACGACAGGGGAAGGATCACTTGATGATTCCCTGTTCTGTTCATTCCCTCTGAACCTCCTGGCATTGGCCATTGTTGGAAGACAGGATACAGGGCTAGACAGATCTATGGTCTGACCCAGTATGGCTGTTCTTATGTTCTAACTCAGGTTAAAATAACACTGAAGATCCAGCAACTTGGCTTTTTTCCTCCACTAACGCCTATAAGGGAAGCCTGGGGTTGAACTTGAGCTACTAACCTGAGTAAAAAGCTGAATTGCTGTGTCTTCACTCGCTGCTTTGATGCACGTTCTCTGACCTGAGCTAAGAACGTACCTTTTCTGGCAGCGTAGACGTTACACTCTTGACTCTCCGGTGCGCCTTTCTGCAGGCCGACATGTGATGCCGATGTGCTTTTTTCTTCTCAGATTGAACTTCTCCCCTCCATGAAGTCCCTCCACAAGCATATAGACAGCACGCAGCTGCCACTGGAATGGGATGGAGCCTTCCCTTACTGCCATCGGGACTGGCTAAGCTTTCGCATGGTGAGTGAGGTGTGCGACTGGCTTTACACTGGCTGCTTCTAGGATTATGGCCAGATTTCCCATACACCAGAGAGGAGAAACATTGTATAATTAACTGGGTTAGTGCAAGGTATAGCAGCAAATAAATATAAAACTCACAAATGATGGGAGATGTGAAGTTCTGGTTACCCTGATAGCCATGTCTCACCTACATGGTGCATGTATGTCTTACCGTGCTCATGTTAGTGTTTATAGATGTGCCAAGTGGCCAGACCACGGCCTGACCCTGATAGTAGGGACCAGGATCATTGCAGCCCTCTCCAGGGTGGGGAGACAGACTCCTTCCTTCTTGTACACTCCCAGGTCTCCAAGGCAGGGACTCTCTTAAAGTTTGTCTCTTCATCGGTGATCAGAATAATGTCGCCACTTAACAAATAATAATTACAATAATAAACATTCCAAAGTTATCAGAGTTGGTTAGAATTCTGTTATCTTGGAGCCAGATTTCCTGGAATACATAAAAAACTCCCCACTGAAGACTATGCTTCTGGCACGCGTAAAGCTTTACAACACAGGTGCTGGAGTTCTTGGATGAGCTAAGAACACCCCTGTCCTCCAGCAGTGATGACTGACAGATTTTACCAAACTTGCCACCACATTCTACCCCAGGAGGCCAGCAGGGAGCTTCAATTCCTTTGTGCCACACACTTCAGGGTATTCCTGTATCAATAAGAGCCACATTTTTAGCAGTACTGCTATGTGTGATTCGACATGTTCGGGTATGGGGGGTTCATTTCCTCTGTGACTCCCCGCAAGGATCATCTGCAGCATGCACAAACCGGCAGTGTTTCCATTTGTGTTTGATTTGCCTAACTTTGTTTGGGACAGCACCAATTTTATGGCTTCTGCTTCCAAGGGATTCAGCCTTTTTTCTGCCCTGACGTTGTTACTGGGCAGGGCACAATGTAACAATGCCGAAATGCTGAGCTGTCTGTCAAGATGTCACAGATGAAATTGCTGTGCCTCTGATGGCAAATTGAGGTTGTCTCTCTTAATTTCAACTTGCTTCAAATATAAGACGATCAGAAATATAATTATTAAAGTTCTCTTCCCTACCCATATCGAATCATGAAATCATGGAACTGTAGGGATGGAAGGGTCCTCGAGAGGTCGTCTGGTTCTGCCCTCTGCTCAGAGGCTGGGCCAATTAAACCTAGACCATCCCTGGCAGGTGTTTGTCTAACATGTTCTTAAAACCGCCAAGAATGGGAATTCCATAGCCTCCCTTGGAAGCCTGTTCCAGAGCGTAACTACCCTGAGAGTTAGAAAGTTTTTTCTAGTTTCTAATCTAAATCTGCCTTTCTGCAGATTAAACCCATTGCGTCTTGTCCTACCTTGTCCTACCTTCCATAGTGGAGAACAATTGATCACCGTCCTCTTTTCCTAATAGCCCTTAGCAGATTTGAAGGCTGTTACCAGATCTGCCCTCGGTCTTCTTTCCTCAAGACTAAACATGCCCAGGTTTTTTTACCCTTTCCTCAGAGGTCAGGTTTTCTGAACCTTTTCTCATTTTTGTTACTCTCCTCTGGACTCTCTCCAATTTGTACGTGTCTTTCTTTAGGCATGGTGCCCAGAATTGGACACAGTACTCCAGCTGAGGCCTCACCAGTGCCAAGTAGTATCATACAATTATCTTCTAGGTCTTACATACAACACTCCTCTTCATATATCCCAGAATGATGTTAACCTTTTTTTTGCAACTGCATACTGAATTTGCGATCCACAATAACCCCCAGAACCTTTACAGCCCTGCTACCACCTAGCCACTTGCTCCCCACTTTGTGGTTGTGCTTTTGATTTTTTTCCTTCCTGAGTGCAGAATTGTGCACTTGACTTTATTGAATTTCATCCTGTGCTTTCAGACCAGTTCTCTAAATTGTCAAGGTTGTTTTGAATTCTAATGCTGACCTCCAGAGTTCGCTCCCAGGTTGTCTTCATCTGCAGGTTTGATAGAGATACTCTCCACTCCATTATCCCAGTCGTTAGTGAAAATATTGAATAGTTCTGGACCCAGGGCTGACCCCTGCAGGATCCCACTAGATACACCCTCCCAGTTTGACAGTGTGCCGTTGTTAACTACTCTTTGAGTACAGTCTTTATCAGTCGTGTTCCCACATGGTAGTAATTTCTTGTAGAACAGATTTCCCTAGTTTCATTATGAAAATGCCGTGTGGGACTATGTCAAAAGCCTTAACCAAAGTATTAGGGGGTAGCCGTGTTAGTCTGTATCCACAAAAACAATGAGGAGTCCGGTGGCACCTTAAAGACTAGCAGATTTAGTTGGGCATAAGCTTTCGTGGGTAAAAAACCCACTTCTTCAGATGCATGGAGTGAAAATTACAGACCAAAATATTAAACACCTCAGCCTTCTTGATTTTTATCAGCTATTAGTTCTTCTTCTGTGCTATGGAGAGGACCTTCACTTTCCTTTGTATTTCTCTTGCTCCTAATGTATTTAAATAACCTTTTCTTATTGCCTTTTATTTCCCTTAATGAATGTAACTCATTTTGTGCCTTGGCCGTTCTGATTTTGTCCCTACATGTTTGTGCTATTCTTTGTACTCCACCTTAGAAACTTGTCCATGTTTCCACTTTTTGTAGGATTCCTTTTTGATTTTCAGGTCATTAAAGAACACCTGATGGAGCCATATTGGCCTCTTGCTATTCTTCCTGTTCTTTGCATTGGGATAGTTTGCTGTTGTGCCTTTATTTTAGTCTCCCTGAGAAATTTCCAGCTCTCTTGAACTTCTTTATGGTTCAGATTTTCTTCCCATAGGACCTTTCCTACCAGATCTCTGAGTTTGTTAGTCTGGTTTTTTTAAGTCCATTGTCCTTATTCTGCTGCTCTCACTCCTTCTTTTCCTTAGAATTATGAAATCTATTATTTCATGGTCACTTTCATTCAAATTGTCTTCTACCTTCAGATTCACAACCAATTCCTCCCTGTTAGAAGTAAGTCTAAAATAGTTATCTCCCTCATTATCTCCTCCACCTTCTGAAACAGAAAGTTGTCCCCAGTATGTTCCAAGAATGTATTGGGCATGAGAGACGGTGGGGAATAGCTAGGGAAATATATGGAAATAAAATGAAAGAATCTGGGGAAGAATATTGGAGTCCAGGGCCACCTCTTGTTTCACATTTCTTGCATTTTCAAGTCAATATCTTTCCCAAAGCTGTAGCTGAGGGGGGAGTTCATACAGGAATTTGACGGCACAGCTGCTAATCGATGCACTGAATGTGACCATGACCCAAGTGATAAATGTCTGTAGCTCTGCAACCACATGCCAAACACTATTTATTTAACATCTCTGATGAGCTCACCTGCATCCTGCTTACTAATCCGTCTCCAGCGGCGCTGCTCACAACATTCCAAACCTGGGAGCAGCTTCAAACAGCTCCTCTTTTTTTAAAAAAATAAGAACCTACTTGTGAATGTGGAATTTGCCCCCAAATTTCACTGGTTATAGGCTGACGACAAAAGTATTCAGACCTGGATCAATGACACTTTTAAGGGGCGATATCTCATGAACCACCATTGTCCCAGAGGAGAGCTGAGAATGCAGGTTTTCTATGGTATAAATTGTTTGTATCTAGTTCTGGAGGTTTGCCCGGTGTCAGGCCTTAAAATTGTACCACCCTGATGTGTAGGATAGCTAACTTAGGTCATGCATACAAGTCTTAAATGTGTATTCTATTTTTTCTATCACTCCAGGGTCAATACATTATAACTGAGGCAATTTAGATTTACCAGTGGAAGGATATGAAAACTATTCTTTCTGAAAAAAATACAGATCTTAAAAGAATGTTACAGAATCCCTCTTCTCTAAACCGTGGCACAAACAAAATCCATAATAGCTTGGGGTGGGAATAAATTAGGATTGTATTGGACCTTCCATGGGATGACCTATTTAAACTCCTGGTTTGGTCACTTGTGGCTAATGCAGCCGTCCCAGACTCAAGCCATGAAAAGCTTAATACCTCACTTGTACGGGTGTTGTTATAGCCATGTTTGTGCCAGGACATTAGAGAGACAAGGTGGCTGAGGTAATATCTTCCGTTGGATCAACTTCTATTGGTGATAGAGACAAGCTTTTGAGCTTACACAGAGCTCTTCAGGTCTGACCTGAAGATATTACCGCACCCACCTTTTCTCTCTAATACCACACTGTCTCCGGTCCCATTCGAACACCCCGTCTTGACTACCCACTGGACTGCTGTGGGGGAACCCAAGCCTCTGGATCCCTGGGTGTTTTAAACTCTGGAGCCTAAATGGAGCCCAACTACTGCCCCAGTCTTTGGGGTCCATAGGCACAGCCTCAGGGTGCAGACACTGTATCTGTCACCTCACACTGAGAACTTGCTGCCCAACCCCTTGGCTCACAGCTGACCCTTCAGACTCCCCCGTAGTTTAACACACCCAAGGGGTGAGCCTCCTGGGTTACAGCTGAAATTTTGCAGGAGGCATGAGATATATAACACACAGAGAGACTTTTCACCGGAGTCTAGCATCATTGCTCTTTTATTTGACAGTTAAAGCACAAGCAGTACGGCTCATATACAGCACAACCAACCCTAACTGCAATGCCCCTCAATAGCTCACTCTTCTCTGGGGAGTCCGGGGGGACCGCTGGTGTTCAGGAAGGCAGGCAGGGTCCCCTGACTCATGAGGACTGTACCTGTTGGGTTGCTTCTTCCTCTCGGAGTCTTCAACCCAGCTTTCCATGATCCAACAGTTTTCATAAGAGCAACTTTGTCGTACTAACCAAAATTCATAAGTTTTGCAGACAGAGCCCTGAACCCATCAAAGACCATGACATCGGTCCACTCTAGATTTCCACCCACATCTTTCTACCAATCCCGACAGCTCCGTGCAAGCTGCTGTTTCTGTTCTGTTCTGAAGAAAACCGTGCTGACAGTAACCTCTGCCTTGTTCCTTTCCCCATCAGAAACTGGAGCATTTGCTACAAGGATGTCAGGGCGCTTGTGCTTTCCTGCAGGGGGCCATTCAGAGGATGGAGTCTTGTAGATTACCAGAAAGGGCTGAGGTAAGTGTTGTCTTCTAGTGCCAGACACAGGCACAAAGAGCAGGATGCTAGACAGGGGCTGCCAGGCTGAAATTTTAATGCTATAATGGCAGCTCACGCTAAATGCGGCATTTTTAATTTTTTTTTTAATACTCAAATTCTCAGTAAATTAGGTAGAGCAAAGATTTTAAAGTTAAACCTGGTGTCCAAATTGCTAAGTGTTTGTATGGAGATTGGGAAGATGGGACTTCATATCTGGATTAGAGAAAAATGGATTAAAATGAGCGATTAAATTTACCATCAAAGTTAAGCCACATTGTCATAGGTCAGCTCTCTGCGTCCTGGGCCTAATCCAAGGCCCCTCCCACTCTAGCAGTGAGCTGGCTATTGTAATATTTGTTCTGGGGCTCAGATTTCTAAGAGAACAAGAAGTAAAGAAAAGATATGGGTGAGGCTAGAGGCACATAGAGACAAAATCAAGCGTTGTGAAAAGGAAATGCAAAAAACGCTAAGGTCCGCATATTGCCATGGAAGAGGACCTGGAAGGAAGAGGGAAACTCAGCAGTGGAGCATTATGAAGGCTTTTACAGGGTTCATTTCTAGTTTTCTTTCCATTCCTCTCTGGATGCACTTTTGCTTAAAAGCTCATACTTATTGTTCTTTTCCCTGTTATAATAAGCAGACCCAGTATGGTGTCTGGCCATGAGTTGCTTGGTATAACTCCCATCTATGTAACCTTGTCGTTGTTCTCCTGTCCCAGTGCTGGGGGAGGTTTCCACTTAATCAGCTGTGTGGTGATATGTCAGTGTGATTTACAATGGGATTTCTAGCTGTTAAGGAAAGAGACATTTGAGTAAAGTGAGTCTCTGATGACCATTTTCATGTCCAAAGAGAGTACTGATTTGTTTGAAATAATAAGTGCCTTGGTGCTGTCATTATTGGAAACCCCTCAGGGGAGGGCATTGTTCTGAGGGGTGTCATCTCATTGATCTTTCTGAAGAGCCTGCTGCCAGACCAGAGGAAAGGAGATAACTGATGAGATATTGATTTCAGTGGGAAAGAAAGCAGTGCTGTACAGTCCATATCCTTTCCAGTCTGTTCTTTCAAGGACAGAGAGAGGGGGCGGCAGGGGCAGGGGGTATGATAAAAGGAAGGCAAGGAGAACAGGACAAATTGTTCTCTCTGTAGTTACCATTAAATAGCTTAGAAATTCAATTAACCATGCCAGTCAAATGGAAGCTAGTTCAGAGTGAGGAAAGATCAGGCCTTGCTAGAAGGCAAATGTGAAACAAAGAGCCTTTAATTACAGCACTGTGCTTGTCACTTGTTCCCAAGATTTATTGTCATGGCAGTTGACATCTAAAACTACAAAATCCTTCCTAAGAGAGAGCCTTTTCTAAATCCTGTTTGTACAAGAGCTTGTGGGGTTTGAGGGTGTTAAAATGGACTCTCTGAAAAAATCTCCCTCTTTCTCTCGAGTGTAATTCTGCGGGTGTAGAAAGCCTTACATCAGTACGACTCTGCAACAATAGCTTTCTGTTACTAAGCCCAAAATGTATTTTCAAGGTATGCTTGAGTTATACCAATCTATGTAACCTTGTCATTGTGCAAGCAGCTAAAATTTATTGCCATTCATCCTGTCCTCCAGCAGAGAGTGTGAAAGATGCTGTACCAGATTTTTCCTCCTCCTGCATGCACATCCACCAACACCATGTGCCATCAGAGAGAAAGCTGTTGCCAGTACTTGGGGTGCAATGAGGTCCATCACTTGGAGATGAATGGCTATCACGCAGTGGCTTCGGGTAGCAAAATGAGGATGAGCTGGAAGGCTTCTCTTTCTAGAGCCAAATCAATCAAATGAACACTGAGAGCAAAACACCGCTATCACACTGTTCTTGGCAGCCTGGACAGACAGGCTGTGGACTGAAAGGGCAATGGGGACTGAATTTCCCCCTCTAGCGCTTAGAGAGGAGGCTTTTCAAGGGTAGGGTTGAGATGTACCATTGGGGCAAGGTATGTTTTCTTTGTTCTGCTGATGCCTGTACATTGTACAGCTAAATAACTGTATTTGCTTTGCTCTTCTGACTCCTCAGGAGGCCAGTGTTTTGTTGAGGAATTATAGACAATTAATGAAGAACGTCCTTGATGACACGCGGCTGGTTAAACTGCAGCTGGAGGGCGGAGCTCTTCTGGCTCGGCTGAGGAAGGAGGAGTCCTGTGTCACTGTCACCGAGGACTACAGGTGAGTCCATAGGAACGCAGGGAAGAAGGAGAGGGAGTGAAACAAAGGCAGACAGAGACTGTTTGTGGGGAAAGATTAAAAAGCTTTCCAAGCAAAAAGTCCCCGGGCAATAGCAGCTTTCCTGCTTCGACGGCTCTTTGGGGAAAACAGCAGAAATGAAGAATGTGATGAATATGCTTTTTCCTGATTTTTTTTCAAATACCAAGAACTGTCTTGTCTCTTTAAAATTCCTACTGACCTGCAGGTTCCTCTAGTTAATGCTGAGCTCCATTTTAAAACCAAACCCTTTCCTGTGCAGGGGTGGACTGCTCCTGCCCAGAATTATGCTTGGATTTCATCTGCATACCATAAATTTCTTACAAAATTGTCTTAAGTGGTGATACCAGCAGTGTTTATATGTTAAATTAATACAGCTTCAATATGTAACAAACAGCTTCTTTCACCAAGAGAGATTTTCTGGCCTGTACATGATGGGATATTTTCTGATGCGCTGAGGTCTGGTCTCCTTGGCTGTAGGTGCAGTTTGCACCCATAAATGATGTTCCTTGCATCTGTGCATCATGAAATCAATTGTGGCACAAATGTTAGTAGTTGCAGTTCTCTCAGATTTGCACGTAACTGTACTTGGCACAGTAGGGAAATATACCTGGCATGGCATTATTATTGTTTACTAGTAGCTGAAAGTCTGGGCTGTGGCCCCGTGTATGGCAGTTGGGCCAAGTAATCCTGTCTGTGCAGTCTCCCTCATACAACTAGGGAAATTGTGGCATGCAGATTAGCTGCAGAGTAAGGGTTGACACTGGTTGAGTTACCTCTGATGTCGCAGTGGTCTAGGACTCTTGGCATGGCATAGATTCATGCCCTACTGTAGCTGTACACCACACAGGGGTAATTCGTAAAGTCAAGATGGCTGACACCTTAAAAATGGGATGGTAACAGGCCATGAATCCCAGTGATGACACAACCTGGTGATATTCTGAAGGAAAAGCGCTCCAAACAGTGCTGTTTTCATACTTTACATTGACTGTACAGACATTCTAGGCTTCAGAGTGACAGTCCTGGAAACTTATTATATAGATTATCTGTGTTACTGTCTTACCTAAGAGCCCAAGTCATGGACCAGGACTCTGTTGTGCTAGACACTGTACAAACACAGAACAAAGGGATGCTTCCTGGCCCCAAGAATTTACAATTAAAGTAAAAGACAAGAGAAAACAGCTAGATACAGACAAGACCGATAGGGGAGGAAACAATGAGACAATACTAACCAAGTGTTTTGTAGGCATCATAACAAACGAGAGTTTTAAAGATGTTAATGAGTTAGTTATGTGGATGTTTATGGGTGCTCCTCCCAGGTGTGAAGAGCAGCATAGGAGAAAGCATGAAGGTACTTGTTTGAAAATCTAACAAGTGGACTGTGGAGGCTGATATCATGGGCCAACTGGAGGCAGGAATCAAGTTACTTGGGCATCATTGGTTTTTGTAAAGGGAAATCAGGCCTCACCAATCAGAATTCTTTGAGGGGATCGACAAACGTGAACAAGGGTGATTCAGTGGATACGGTGTATTTGGACTTTCAGAAAGCCTTTGAGAAAGTCCCTCCCCAAAGGCTCATAAGCAAAGTAAGCAGTCATGGGATAAGAGGGAGGCTCCTCTCATGGATCAGTAACTGGTTAAAAGATAGGAAACAAAGGGTAGGAATAAATGACCAGTTTTCACAGTGGAGAGAGGTAAATAGTGATGTCCCTCTAGAGTCTGTACAGGACCAGTGCTGGTCAATATATTCTGGAAAAAGGAGTAAACAGTGGAGTGGCAAAATTTGCAGACAATACAAAATTACTTAAGACAGCTAAGTTCAAAGTAGGGCTGTCAAGCAATTAAAAGAATTAATTGTGATTAATCACGCTGTTAAACAATAATAGAATACTATTTATAAAAATATTTTTGGATGTTTTCCACATTTTCAATATATTGATAACCATTACAACACAGAATACAAAGTGTACAGTGCTCACTTTATATTTATTTGTATTATAAATATTTGCACTGTAAAAAGAAAAAAGATAGTATTTTTCAATTCACCTAATACAAGTACTGTAGTGCAATCTCTTTATCATGAAAGTTGAACCTACAAATGTAGAATTATGTACAAAAAATAACTGCATTCAAAAATAAAACAATGTAAAACTTTAGAGCCTATAGCTCCACTCAGTCCTACTTCTTGTTCAGCCAATTGCTCACACAAACAAGGTTATTTACATTTGCAGTAGATAATGCTGCCCACTTCTTATTTACAATGTCACCTGAAAACGAGAACAGGCGTTCGCATGGCACTGTTGTAGCTGGCATTGCAAGATATTCACATGCCAGATGCGCTAAAGATTCATGTGAATATGAATTTATGCTTCAGCCACCATTCCAGAGGACATGCGTCCATGCTGATGATGGGTTCTGCTCGATAACTGTCCAAAGCAGTGCAGACCAACGCATGTTCATTTTCATAATCTGAGTCAGCTACCAGCAGAAGGTTGATTTTCTTTTTTGGTGGTTTGGGTTCTGTAGTTTCCGCACCAGAGTGTTGTTCTTTTAAGACTTCTGAAAGCATGCCCCACACCCCATCAGATTTTGAAAGGCACTTCAGATTCTAAAACCTTGGGTCGAGTGCTGTAGCTATCTTTAGAAATCTCACATTGTTACCTTCTTTGTGTTTTGTCAAATCTGCAGTGAAAGTGTTCTTAAATCGAACATGTGCTGTGTTGTCATCCAAGACTGCCATAATACGAAATATATGGCAGAATGCGGGTAAAACTGAGCAGGAGACATACAATTCTCCCCCAAGGAGTTCAGTCACAAATGTAATTAATGCAATATTTTTGTAATGAGCATCAGCAGCATGTCCTCTGGAGTGGTGGGCAAAGCTTGAAGGGAAATACGAATGTTTAGCATATCTGGCACATAAATACCTTGAAATGCTGGCTACAAAAGTGTCATGCGAACGCCTGTTCTCGCTTTCAAGTGACATTGTAAATAAGAAGCGGGCAACATATCTCCCATAAATGTAAACAAGCTTGTTTCTCTTAGTGATTGGCTGAACAAGAAGTAGGACTGAGTGGACCTGTAGGCTCTGAAGTTTTAAAATGTTTTGGTTTTGAGTGCAGTTATGTAACCAAAAATATCTACATTTGTAAGTTGAGCTTTCACGATAAAGAGATTGCACTACAGTACTAGTATGAGGTGAATTGAAAAATACTTTTTCTTTTGTTCATCATTTTTAAAGTGCAAATATCTGTAATAAAAATAATGTAGTGAGTACTGTACACTTTGTATTCTCTGTATTTGAAAATGTAGAAAACCATCCAAAATATTTTATAAATTTCAATTGGTATCCTATTGTTTAAAATGCGATTTTTAATCGTGATTAATTTTTTTGAGTTAATTGCGTGAGTTAACTGCGATTAATCGACAGCCCTAGTTCAAAGCTGACTGCGAAGAGTTATAAGGGATCTCACTTGACTAGATGACAAAATGGAAGATGAAATTTGATGTTTTGCAAATGAGCTGCAGGGAAAGAGCGATGAAGAGGTCATGGATGGCTGAGATTTTTATGGAGATGGAGTAGCAAGAGAAGGGGAGCTACAGGGGCAAGAAGGGAGAAGGGTGTGAAGTTAGGAATGGTGGCATGGGAGGGACAGAGGTGGGTATGGGGACAGGGTGGGTCCTGGGAGAGAGGAGAGAGATGCCCTTGACTTGAGGGATGGGGACAGGGAGAGAGGGTGGGTTTGGAGAGAGGGCCAGGGATGGTCCTTCAGAAGTAAGGAGAAGAAGGGTGTGGGACCTATATTTGTGCTTGTGGGGGAGATTGGGGTGGAGAGGGGAAGAGGAGCAGGTAGAGCTGATGGGAGCTGTAGAGGACAGAGGGGAACAAGGAAAGGAAAATGGAGCCAATGGGAAATTTAGGGAAAAGAATATCCCATTTAAAAATTTTAATGGGGTTAGTAAAATGCTATCTGGCATATACTGGAACACATCAGACTTTAGCAAAGAAAATAAATGTGCAAACTTGTGCGGGGGGGGGGGGAAGCAAAGGGGCCTCTCTCTAAAAGCAGCATTGGATATGGATAGTTTAGCCATTTGGGAGTTCAGAGAGGGTGGGGAAAATATATTTCTCCCACAAAAAATCCTGACTACACTCACGTAGACAAAGCTATAGAGAAATGACTGATTCTGAAACTTAATGTGGGCAGAGCCCTTTTGGAGAACCAGCCGCTTTGTTTGCTTTGGAAAACAAACTGCTTTGACCGGACAAAGTTCTGTGAGCAGTGCATGCTGAGCATGTGTAGTAGGTGTTTGTTCTGCTTGGTCAGTAAGGGTTGATCTCGTGCCTACTGAAGTCAGTGGGGCCAGATCCTCATGACAGTGCCCAGCCAGAGAAACCTGGCTTAGCATAGACATCTGTGGATGAGGGAAGACCTCCTACTCCTCCAAACCATGGAGCAGGAGTCTCAAACTCAATTTACCTTAAGGCCAGCGCCAGTCCTCAGCTCCTCCCAGCAGGCCAAGAAGGTCACTCAAGATGGTGTTCCAAAAAGAAAACGTTTATATTGTATTTTTTATTTTGAATTTCTTAGAAATCATAAAACCGTCATACTTCTTTATACAATTCTTCGCCTGCCAGAGAGTTTGCCAGACACCTGGCAGTGCTTAAGTCCTGTCCATTTGTGGATGTTTGGCCTCAGTGACTGAGCAATTGACAACTTCAGGCTTGCAGCAAGGTGGGCATCAGAGAGCTGTGCTTGGTATTTTGACTTGTTTATATTCATTGTGGAAAAAAGTGATGCTGCCTCCATGGCAACTCATGAGGCTGCCTCCAGGGCTGACTCTGCCTGGCAACTAGTGACGGTATCCCTGTCCCTCTCCCCCAGCCACCGGGAGCTGCGGGGGGCGGTGCCGGCAGCGTGGCTGCATGCGTGTCTCCGCTGCGGGCCGCAACGGGGAGGTTC